TGTGCTCGTAACCGGACGAACGTAAGTATGGGGCCATGGGAGGGAAGGGGGCAGGGCCGGGTCACACATCCGCAGAATCACGCCTTCGCTGAGCTTGCGGGGTGGAGATCGCGCATTGGTTCCCTGCATACGAGGGAACAAAAGGGGTCCGTCTGCGTGAGAAGGGCGAACCACTTCCGATGCTCCGTTCGCGCCATATATATCCTAGGATGATCACCGACAAGAGAAGGGGACGCGGCCGCAGACTTGCGCGACGCAGGAGGCACTTGAGTTGCCCGAGGCGGGCGCGGCCGTTGGCGGTCGAGCTCAGGCGGGGGAGGGGGCGAGCGTGGCGAGGGGGTGCTTCGCTGGCCTGGAAAGGAAGGGTGTGGGTATGCGGCGACGCGAGGGGGAGCGGTGAAACGCGCGCGGCATCAGATGCCGGCACGAGCAGCACACGCCGGAATATTTTAATTTTGGACGGGGGCTGCGGGCGACGGCGGTGGTTGGCTGACCAAATGCAGCTAGCAGGGGAGTTGCCACGCCACAGGCTGGAGCCTCACGGGCCTCTGGTTGGAAGGAGGGGAGCGGTGAAACGCTGTTGACGCACGCGTATCTCCTGCGCGCGATCTCCCAGACGGATTGACGGACTCTGGAGGAGCAGCAGATGGCTCGACTACAAAGTGGCGGCTGAGCGAGGGCCGCGACTAACACGATCAGTCCGCGATCTAGTGTCACGTGGGGCGCGATAGGCGCGCGTCGACGCCTTCTCGCAGGCCGCTCTCTCTGCTGTCCTCCACTCTCGCGCTCTCGTCGACGGCTCTGACGCGTTTTCTAGGCTCTGCTCTACTAATCGACGCCGCTTCTGCTTAGATCTCCTCGCTCGCCATGCCCGCCTCCCTTGCCCGTCCCCTGCTCTCATCGCCGCTCCTGCTTATCTACCCGACCCCGCTTGCTTGATCTTGTGGATCCTCGTCCACATCAGCCATCCGCAGCAAGCGACTCCGCGAACGTACGCACGAGTCCTCCCGAGCAGTGTCCCTCCCCCAAGTCCGGTCTCCAGTCGAACCCTCCGGCGAGCAACCTCGCGCTGTCCCTCGCAGCTCGCAGCTCGCAGCTCGCAGCTCGCGGCCTACAGGTAACTAGTCTACATACCCCAGAACCTGTGTTGATCTCGTCTACTCGCTCAGGAACGGCCTCGTGCGCGTACGTCCACGGGAACGCGGTGTTGCTCGTAAATGACGCCCTCCGTCTCTGCAGCCCGGGAACCGTCATAAGACAGCATACAACGCCCGCGGAGTGCTCGCGAATGCTCTCGCGCCGCGCCCGGGACTCGCAGACACGCTAGCGCCACGTACATAGCGCATGCCCTGCGTTGGAGGCGCCTCGCGAGCCACCTGGACCCGCGCGATGGGCTCAATACTGACGAAAGCGTCAGACCGCACCGCGGAGCTCATGTAGCAAGGCAAACGTACCCGTAAACACCGCTCGTCCTCGCTCAAACCCCGCGTTTTGGCGCCCTTCGCAAGTTGCGCACGCGAGCAGGTAGGTACGCGCTCATTCCGAGTCTCAGGAGAGGGGTATCGCTGATCTGAACCTCCAGATGCACGTCCTCTGGCGCCCCGCACTCCCGGATATCGACACAGACCCCACCGGGGCACTTCCGAGACGGTTTCGACCGCCCGGGACACGCCCACACGGCGCCGTACTCGCGTAGCGCGGTGTGCGATGGGACGAGGACGGCGGGAGCGTACATCGCGGACATCCCATCGTGTCCGGATCGCGGGAACGGCGCCTCGACGCCGCGGATGATGCCGCGCGGGCCAGCTCAGGGCACCGGCAGATCGTGCGAAACGATCGCTTGACGCTGGCAGGAGTCAGGACGTGCGCTAGCAGCCATGTGAACACGACGTACCCGTCTACAGCACGGATGTAAGCTCGCCATCTAGCTGCCTTCGACTCGTATCCACCGCCCCTCGCCAGCGCCTGCATCCTGATCTCGTCAAAAAGCTTCGAGATTCATCCGGGGGACATAGGTAAGTCTAGGCCCATGCCGTACTCGTGAGCAGGTGCAACCACGAACTCACCGCAAGCTCCTAGAACAGCACGTGGACGTCCTTCGCGCGGCGGACATGCTGGACTCCCGGACACGCGGATGCGAGAAGGTAGGTACACGCTCGTGACGAGTCCCTGGAGAGCGGTTTCGCTGATCTGAACCTCTAGATGTACGCCTTCCGGCACCTTGCGCGTCCGGATATCGACACAGGCCTCCCCGGGGCATTTCCGAGTCGGTTTCCACGTCCCGGGACACGCCCACACAGCGCCGAACTCACGTCGCGCGGCAGGCGAGAGCCGTGATGGGACTACGAGGGCGGGAGCGTACATCGCGGCCATTCTATCGTGCCCGGATCGCGGCAATGGCGACTCGACGCCGGGGATGATGCCGCGCGAGCCAGCTCGCGGCGCGGGCAGATCGTGCGAAAACCATCGCTCGACGCTGGCGGGAGTATCCGGAAGTCAGATCGTGCGCTAGCGGCCATGCAAACGAGACGTACGCATAGATACCACGCAGGTAATCTCGCGATCTCCCGGCCTTTGACTCGTATTCACCGTCTCTTGCCAGCGCCCGCATCCCGACTTTGACAAAAAGCTCCGAGATTCATCTGGTAGACATAGGTAAGTCTGGGCTCTTGTCGTGCTCGTGAGGAGGTGCAACTACACACTCACCGCAAGCTCCCGAGCGGCACATGGACGTCCTTCGCGCGGCGGACACCGGACTCGCGGACGCGCCCCAGGAGACCAAATTTCGCGCTCATGCGCGCGCGCACACGTCTCCCACGCGACAAGACCGCAGCGAGCACCGGCGCCCCGAGTCGCGGATAGAAGCCTGCCTCGATACGCGGCGGACAAGCCCTCGGAGTCGACGAATCGACAAGAGCACGAGACGAGTGAGACTCGCGCGGCGGCGAAGACGCGAGGCGACGTACCTCGTCGACACCAGGCAAGTCCGCAGCTCGCGTCCTGTCCCGAGTCGTGCTCATAGCCCCTCCTGTAGCGCTTGCAATCCGCGGTCTCTTGCGCCGGTATGTCGCCGTGAAGGCCAGTCTGCGCACACGTCGCAGGCGCGGAAAGGCCGCGCGGAGACGAGCACTCGATGCTCGCGGGAGAGGGCGACTGTAGCAGGGACTCGGCTCGTGCAATAGCAGCCACGCGAATGAGACGTACGCATCGATATGACTGAGGTAAGGCCCCAATCGTCTCCACATCGACTCGTGCTCACCGCCCTTCCGCAGCGCCCGTGTGGCGACCTCGTCAGACGAGGTTCGCCCTCGGGAATCTGCAAGAATCTCGTAAGTTTGTGCTGGTCCCCGCGAGCAGCGAAGACTCCGTGCTCACGTCAATTTCGCAGATCTCGCGAAGCTGCGAAGCGCTCCCGCGCACCCACCCGTCCCCGGACGACAAGACCGCGGCGGCACACGAAGCATCGGCGCCCCGAGTCGTGTATCGAAGGCTTCCTCTGCGCGGACAGAGCGCTCGAGAAGGCCGGTCTCCGCGGGTGGGAAAGGATGTCAAGACTCGCGCGGCCGCGGCGATACGAGCGAGCCGTGCACCTCGTCGACACCAAGCAGGTCCGTTTCCCATGTCCTGCCCTTGCCCCGTGCTCACGTCTCCTCCCGCAGTGCTCGTCATCCTGCCTCGATGGTGCCTGTACGCCCTCGCGAAGCTGCACACATCCACCACTGGTAAGTCTGCATCCGCTTGCCGCGAGAACAGCCGGAAACGTACGTCGATGCAGATCCCTTCTCTTCGCGCCCAAACCTTCGCGGAACGCGGCAAATCCGCCGCATGCATTGGACGTCGCGAACCGGGCCTCCCGCCGCCTCGCACGGCCGCGTGCGCACTCGTACGCGTGCGCATCGCGGTGCGCCTCGACGCCTCCGTCCAGGGCCTCCAGGGTGCGAGGAAACCAAGTCGGACGGGCGCGGACCGCGTCGGCGCGCACAGGACTCGA